GCCAATCACGGCACAGACACGATAGTGGAGGGTGTGGTCACTCCTCCAAACCCAGCCCCCGCCTGCAAAGTGCCAGAGACTAATGATGCCAAAAGAAATGAGCTGGAGGACTCGTTTGAGATCATTGAGAAACCAGGCCTACTAAAAACCAAAACAAAGAAACCGCCCAAGGTTATCCAGAGAAGTATGTCCCTGCAGACCATCAACACGGTAGACGACGACAGTACGTAACCGATTTTATTGTCTTCTTTACATGTATTTTATCAGGCTGTGAAAATTACTTCATGAGTGATTCATCTGCATATTATTCCCTTGATTATTTCCTTTTGTTTTACTCTTAAATAAGTATGTTCCAGTTGACGTCTTCTATGTTTTGTTTTGTTTTTGCCCATCTGGGCCGCCATCTGTTCCCACAGCTCTTATAGTGTAATGTTTCCTTCCTGTATACATCCTCATGATCAGCAAAGAGTAGGCACTTATTAACTTGATCATAGTGGAACATCTTGCTGGTAAACTAGATTTTTTGGGTACAAAGTATAAAGTCTACTATGCTCTTGACTGTATGTCACATTTGTTAAAAACAAGCAAGGTCATCTGGATCCGCCAGCCTAGATCTTGTTTTTTTTTTTTTTTTTTTATTAGGTGCAATAGAGTGACAAAACTGGTGATATATACATAACAAATGAGGCACAAAAAAACAAACAGACAAGGTCAGGACAACAACTCCAAAATACAGTAAAAAAACAAAAAAAACAACAAATAAAGATAGCAAAATACTAAGACATCAATAGACACACATCAGACTACGACCAGCAAAACTACAAAACTATATAAAATACCTAAGAAGGCATACAAGATTGATTTTTTTTTTTTTTTAAAGAGAAATGTGTTAGTTTAATTCCTTACTTGGAAAACACCAATTCAAATTGGTTATTTGTTACTCAATTATTATTTTTTTGCTTTAATCCCTGAATACCTCTATATTCTTCCACATGTGATATATACACCTTTACTCTTTAGTGACTGTATTTAAGGCTCATTGTTGAGACACACACGATTGTTTGTAGCTTGAATCTTCTGTTCATTTTTAATTAATCTATTGTTGTTATGATTTTCTGCAGGATCCAGAGGCCGGCGGCGAAGTCAGAAGAAAAACTGCATCCAGTCGTGAGCTCAAACCAGCGTACCGGCAGTATTAAAGCTTTAAAGAGCGCCTGAGGATCTGTTGGTGAAACCTGCTGAGTCATGATCATCGTCCTGTGACAGTGTGTGTCGTCGGTTTGGGCTTAAAGTCCTCATTAAACTCCTCACGTGATAAGCTCATGTGGTGGACAGAGAAAAACGTCATCACATTAGTTTGTATTAAATTATTCCTTTAAGTGGTTTCGATATTTCCCACTTGTATGCTTGAACCTGAACACCACACACTAACACAATTGACCCAGGTTAAGTGGGTGGATGACAACTCTCCTCACTGTTAACCAGGTTGCTATGGAGACAGAAAAGCGTTGAGATGTGCCGTTGTCCCTGAGCGTCGACTTACAGGAACACTCAGTGTCAGGAGTCTTAGAGAGTTTATTGAGGCTGTGGAAAATGAACGCTGAGCACAGAGCTGAACGGCTTTTCTTCTTATCCAGGTGAAACTGACAAAGATTAAAATGTGAAGACCACTTGAGATGAAAATAAGATCGGTTTTGTAGAAGAAATGTAAAAAAAATACATTAAAAAAAACAGTGAAACAAGTTGGGCTGTGTGCTTTAATTTAGTAATAGGTTATCTTTTGGAACACCCTAGCGACATGAAGCAAATAAGGATGTGCAAAATACTGCAGTTCCTCAAGTGTCCACTTGAGGCTGGCTGCAAAAGCCCCAGAAGTCTCATACACATACACTATAAAAGCTCATTTGTACAGCAGAAATAAACATGTTAACTGCCTGCCCCCCCCACCGGATTGTTGATGGACAATTTGCCTCCCCCCACCCCCCCTATCCCTCTTCCTGCATCTTATCCCATCTCTTCCCCTATCCCCTTCCAATCCTGGCGCAGTCTAGGCCTGTGAAGGCTGTTTCGTCATGAGCTGGGGATCCGGCCGAAGATTTCTGCCTTTTAATAAGGCAGTTTTTTCTTACCACTGTAACTTTTGCTGCTTTGCTAAAAGTGCTCATGATGGATAGGCCGGATCTTTGTAACATAACAATGAGTAAGGTCTTTTACCTGCTTTTTGTAACATAACAATGAGTAAGGTCTTTTTACCTGCTGTTTTGTAATGTTAACAGACAAAGAGTAAGGTATTTTACCTGCTTTTTGAGAAGTGTCTTGAGATAACACTTGTTATGAGTTGACGCTATACAAAAATAAATTGAAATTGAATTGAATAAATGAGCATCACCGAGGGAAGTGCTGCAAAAAAAAACCCACAGCTACAAAACTGCTTTGTAACCGTTGCATTGTCATCATCTTATGTTATCCTACCTGTCTCAACATCGTCCCACATCCTGCTCCGCCCGCCCTCTCACCTGTGTATCCCTTATGAGCCCTGCAGTGTTTCTCCCGTCTGTTTACACTCAGTCAGAACAGCTCCAAGGACTTAGAATGTTTCCACGTGTACTAGTTTCCAGCCACCTTCCACCTTTACTTGCAGCTGCCTGCCTGTCAGCTTTTATTGATCTAACTGGATCTATAAATCATTCAGCTGTCACTGTTTGTTAGGTGTTGACAGAACCATTTATGATGCAAGAAAACTCCTGGATCATAAACAAGGATTGTTGAGAGGCCAGAAGATTGTATTCATGGGAATGCATCTCAGCACATTTAAAGCCTAATAAACATGTCAAACATTTTTCAGTCTTGAGAAAGGTCACTTGGTCAGAGGCGCTGCTTGTCAACAGGCATGGCAGGCAAGTGCTTGGGGTCCCAGACCAGAAGGGGGGCCCCAAGGGCTTACAACCTTTAAGCAAATCGGCCCAAAATGTGTAAATTTTGCAATGAGAGTAGGAAACCTTCCTAAAGGGGGTCCCATCTGACAGCCCTCACTCTGGTTGCCCTGCTGAATGCTGTTTGCCTAGTGCCCCAATCACCAGAATCACCACTGCGCTTGGTAATAAAGCCTTCTAACAGGAGATCCTTAGTGCGGGATCTTTCATTCTTTTTAACCTATTAAATGTTTGGATCCAGCAGCCACTAAGGGACGTGCATGTCATTGTGATTTTTCCAAAAAACATTTTCCAGGCTATTCATTTATAACTTTGGTTTGAATTTGCTGACACAAATACAATTTTATAGCCATCACATGTTATACCAGTGTGCCAACATTAAGCCTTTACATTTGTGTTTGAAACAAGCAGTCCAAGAAAGAGCCTCATTGTTTGGAAAACTCATTGTCTGAGTGAGACCTCTGAAACTGTATCCCCTCCATTTGTGTGCCATAGCAACAATCTCATTGAGCCGTTTTTTTGAAAGCAAAGATGGGTGGACAGTCTTCCAGTCGAGCAGGATGATTTTCCTATCTGCAATCATCCCGACTCGCAAAGACATCGGCTCTCTAACTGTTTGACCGGGGGTCCTTTTGAGAGCATAGACCCTAGAAAACATTTCAAATAGCAGGACAGAGCCAGAAAAGATGTGCCGGGTTGACATCTGCTGTTTGACATTCATCACAAAGAGCATAAATATAAGGGTACTTTTTGGTCAACTTCATCTTTGAATAGTTCAATCCATGTATAACCTTGTGTTGTGCCCAGGACTCCATCATATTGGGGCGCCGGTGGCCGAGTGGTAAAGGCTTGGCTAGTGTTGTAGTCAAGACCACACTAACCGAGATCAAGACATACTTGAGATTGGAGTTCTCCGAGACCAAAACAAGGCCGAGACATTTAGGGATTGAGGTCGAGTCAAGACCATAATTATCAATGAAAAATCATAATCTTATGTGCAGGGTGCCTGTCCCTCACTTAGACCGTAACCAGGGGATAAATATCAAACTATAAATGAATGGAAGTTATCACTTCTTTAAAAAGATGCCTGTTTCTTCTAATCACAGAAATGCCGTGGGGAAAAAAAACCTGTCAGTGGTGATCTTGACCGGTCTTGATTTAATATCCAGAGTCCGTCCAGTCTGAGACCGAGACAAGACCGAGTAAAAATGATTTAGATTCCGAGACCTTCAAAAAGATTTTGAGTACTACAACACTAGGGAGCGCCCCACGTACAGAGGCTGTAGTCCTTGAAGCGAGCGGCCAGAGTTCTAATCCGACCTGTGGCTTCTTTTCTCCATGTCATTCCCCACTCTCTCTCTCTCCCTCTCTGATTTCTGACTCTATCCACTCTCATGTCTCTACAAAAAAGGCATAAAAAGCCCAAAAATTAATCTTAAAAAACTAAAAGGTTAGCAGACACAAGATTTAGATTTCTGTTGCTTTGTGTTTCTGTGAATGACGTTTAGACAAACCAAAGAAAAAGGAGTTTGTTTATGCACAACCGATTTACATACACGTTATGTATGACGTAACCATCAAATGAACCGGCTTGTTTTTTAGCTATAGGAAATGTAAATTGTTGTTTACATTCTGGGTTTTAAAACAGGTCGGTGTAAACAAGCAGCAGGTAAAAACCAAACAGAAAGTGGAGCAGCCCCTCCTCATCCTGACGTTTATTTCTTTAACAGGTGAGTCACTCAATGACGCCGTCCATGTTTGTAGAGCATGTTTGGAGGAGATGCAGATACACAAACAGAAAAGATGTGTGCTGTGTTGTTGCTTTGAGGAAAACCACAACTGTTTATCAGAGCGCACACGCTCACCCGACAGGACGTGAGCAGGAAATCCCCTCTTCATCTGGTTCTAAAATACTGACAGCGTCTCTGCAGTCCAACTTGTGTGACCTCTGTCATCAGTGCTGAAATAAAGTTATTAACACTCAGACAGCCGGTTAGTTGGTGGTGAGAGAGGCAACAAGGTGGGGATGTAGCGCCATCTGATGGACAAACACACAGACAAACAGGATGCAGAATAAACCGGTTTATTGCACAACATTTAGATTGAATCTTCCATTAATATAAAGTCATTTAATTAAACAGACAGGAATAAAATAAAGAACTTTAACTGCATTAATGCGCTATAATTAATTTACATTAAGACAAGTCGACTCGGTCTCTATTAAACTTTATTTACAGTTCACTCTTATGTACAATTCATCTGTAACAAAGAAGTAGTTTAACATAATTTAAAGTGTAAGTGAAGTAAGCACAATGCTGACAGCTTCCTGTTAGCCTGAACTTCAAAATAAAACAGCCTTAAAAAGAATTTAGAACATTTATTTTGTATTTTTTCATTTAAATCTCCCATGAAAAAAGAGTGCATGCTGCAATCTCGTCTGATCCAACAGCAAGATTTGACTTTACATTTTTTACATTTGCATGAAATGCTTTTATATTCTCCACCTCTACAATGGCTGCTATTTATAAGTCCATTAGCATTGGACACATTGTGAGACAGTAGGCGACATTACACAGAAATATCAAAGTTTCTCAACATCCAGAGAAAGACCGCGAACAGAAATAGACAAAAACCACGGACACATGGTTTGACATGAAGAGTCTCTTTGTGGCCATCTTTCTTTTTGCTTCCCTCTCAATGTTTCTGTGCTCTTGTTGCTGGTGGTTTCGTGTCTTTGTGTTAGGTTTTTTTTCTTTCTCCTTGTGCTCATTTTGTTTATCTGTTATTATTTTGTACGTGTGTCTGTTTTTATTCAGCATATCGTTGTAAATCTTAAAAAACCTCTTGGTGCTCATTTTCTGCATCCCTTTCATCTTTTGCATTTCAATGCACTTTCTAACCCGACACACAGCGAGCATGAAAGCTTCCATTCTTTGTTTCAGTTGTCTCGTCTGTTTTCAATTCTTTTTTGCACGTCTGTGTGGTCATGGTGTGTCTCTGTGTGGTCTTTTTGTGTCAGTTTGTGGACAAAGTGTGTCCACGTTGATCGTATCTGCAGCAACCTCCCAACAAGGTCGAGCTGTTAGCAGTCACTTCATACTTCATTTAGTGAGTGGGCTCGTTCAGTAATTCAGTCCATCGTCGTAACTTTCTCTTTCTTCCCCTTGTTGCTGGGTGAACTGGACTTCTCCCAGCAGCAGGAAGCAGGTCTCTTTGTCAGGAGATAGTCGGCCCCCTGAAGACGGGGCAGCAGAGCGGGCAGTTTGCAGAAGTCAACTGAGGCTTAAACTAGTTCTCCTTTATTTCTTTTCACACTTATTGAAGTGTAAAACCAGTTTCCTAATTTGAACATTTCTGTCAACACTTTGGGTCATGAGTGAGTGTGTCTGAATGTATGAAAATAATATATATTAGTCGCTTATGTGTTTCTTGTGTATGGCTTTTAGGGGCTGCACTGGAGACATCTCCTTCCAGATCTCCTAACACTCGTTATAAATCCACAGGATTCATTAAGGACCCACAGTTTCCCTCCAGGATCCAGACTCTGCTGTAGTTTGTGTTTCAGTCCTTTGACGGCGAGTTGTTTATGAGCTTTCTCTTCCGCAGAGCCACCAGGTCATAGAAAGGGTCCTTTGTGATACTCGACCTGAAAGACGAGATTCAGGAGGGAAAAAAATGAGCCGGTGATTGTAGTTTATATTCGTTAACTCCGGTGACTTATCGCCTGCCCTGCACTCAGTGCCTCTGCCAGCTGGGGCTGCAACAACTGATTATTTTCACCACTAATTATCTCCTGAAAATTACATTTAATGACTTTGTCTTATAAATGTTAGAAAAATACGGGAAAAGGCGTGTCCCGATGTCCCAGAAACCAAGAGTTACATCTTTAAAGTGCATGATCTGAACAGTGGCATGGTAGGTTTTTCATCTTTGATCTTATGTTTCCATAAAAAAAAAAGACAAATATTGAAATCTTTTTGTCCACTTCTTTGATTTCAGTCAGTTTACCGCAGTGGAAGAACATAGTTTGTGTTCTGACTTCATCACTCTTTCACAGATTTATTTTACATGCAGAAATTTGAGGAGTGATGAGTATCTTTAAACCTCCCAGTCGGAGGAGAGGCACCATGCTGGGGCAGAAAAGCCAGAGCCCAGAGCGTTCCCTATCACACCACACAGTACCACATTGAATCATATGTAAGCCCTGTTATCATATCATATATATTTACTATCATCACTCTCTCACCTGATGGCGTCCATCCAGACGTCTCGCTCTTCTTCACTGGCTGCGCTCAGCTTATATGACTGATGTTTCCCTTGAACCACTCGGCCCCTGTTCTCCGTCTTACAGGCTTTTATCTTCAGTCCTTTGGGGTTATACAACTCCAGACAATACTGTTCAAACACACACACACATACACACACACACACACACACACACCCACACACACACACACACACACACTGTCAATGTGTTCATATGCTCTCTATTTATTCTGTTAGCCTTCTGTTAGCCTTGTGACGCACACTGAGCTCTTTTGTTAGAATTCATGCAGCAGCTGCTCAATGATTCACGTTGCAGTGGAAGGTTTGAATGGACGCTTCACTCGCCCGCCCGTCTGCATGAACTGTAAACTGTCAAACGGTCAAATTAAATGACCTCTTACCGGTTTGCTGGTGTCCTGCAGCTTCCTCACACTCAGGTTCTCCAGAGGAATGATCCCGATCGGGTCTTTATCCTGCAGGAAGAGAAAGCTCAAAATCACACTTACAACTTTTTGACTAACTTAAGCTTGTTTGACTTTTTTACCACATGTAGGTTATATATAGCAGCAGGTAGGCGGACACTCACTGTGGTGTATCGAAAGTAGTAGAGGCAGCTGTCAGTCAGAATGAACCACCTCCTCTTCCAGGTTTTCACTTGGCCTCCTTCAACACAGAAAGTCAAACTCTTTAGAGGAGAAACAGGCTCAGGCTGGTCTGCAGAAAACTCTTGACGTTTGTGTTTTTTTGCTTTTCCTCTCACCGTTTTTCAGAAGCCATCCTTCTCTGTCCGGGTTGAAAAACGTCAGTGTGAGGTCGTTCCCATCATCCTCTGGGATTTTGAACGGCTCGCTGCGGATGCTCGAATACAGTTTCTATAAAACATCGAAGACAGAAGGGAAGATTCAGCGTCCAGTGTGGGATATATATTCAGTGTTTAGATTGTGATTCCTCTTAATGTAGGGAATATACTACAGGGTTCTACAATGCACTGTGAAATCAAACTAAAACCTTGTCTCAGATAACAAAGAAGTTCCCTTTTGGGGAAATGTTCTTTACATTAGCATGTTAGCATTGTTGTTTAAAGGGGTCATATTATGCTTTTTCTGGTTTTATATGCTCTTTAGTGTGTTTTCCAAGTGTCCTGTGCATTTTAGGCACATTTATGTGCAAAAATTCAAAGTCCACGGAAACGCGGCTTCTCCTACGTTCTCCTGTTAGCTGTAGCATTAGCTGCATGTAACACTCGGTTCTAGCCCCCCTCGGAAAAAATGTGCCAGTGTGACGTCTTGTCAGTGTGAGATCACTGATCTAAGCCCATTGGCTCGTTGTGGCCCAGCAACTCATGTTGCACGCCCATTAACTTCTGTGGCACGCCCATGATATGCCGTAGCCTGCGGTAGCACAGTAGTGCTAAGGTGCTAATGTTTTTGCTCTCCTCGGAGCCAAAGTGGCTGCATTCCCAATATGGTAAAAGGGGCGGGACATTTCCGAGAACCGTTCTGAGCGACTGACCAATTACGGCAGAGCCGACAGGCCGACCAATCAGATCAGACTTGGCACACGTGGGGACTCTGAACGTGGGCACTTCAGAGCGTTAGAGAGAGAGTCAGAAGCGAGCTGGTGCGTGGAGCGGCAGTACACGAAAACAGACACTTTTTAAGGGCATAATATGACCTCTTTAAAGTTTTTGTGTCACGCTGATTATGATTGTTTTGAGCTAAATTAGCATTTAGCTTGAACACTTGCTGTAGCAAAGTGTCAGCATAATCTTTAAGATCAGATTCAGCTATTCTATAAAAAAATGTCAGCTGATATATAGAAAGATGCAACATAGAAAAGTACTCTCATCCTCAGAATCCTTGGGAGATTGTGTTTATCTGAAGTATATGGTGTTATAATGTCATTGTGTGTGTGTGTGTGTGTGTGTGTGTGTGTGTGTGTGTGTGTGTGTGTGTGTGTGTGTGTGTGTGTGTGTGTGTGTGTGTGTGTGTATTTGTGTGTTATCAGACCGTGAGCAGCTCGGTGGGCAGGTCCTCCCCGCTGTTGATCGCTCTGTTCATGGAGACGAATCTCTGCAGGCTCGGCTTCTCCTTCACGTTCGGGTTGTGGAGACTCGTGTTTAGCATGATGATGGAGAAGGACAGGATGTAGCATGTGTCTGTTACACACACACACACACACACACACACACACACACACACACAGAATATAGAAACACTTGTCATTATCACCACTGCAATGGAATAAATTGCTACCATTAAAAATAATAGCTTTGCGACAGAAAAACACTCAAACTGAACAGTCTGTTTACTCAGATCAGGGGGGAAGAACATTTGTCTGCGGTGTTTCTTCAATGTAAGAAATGAATTATGACTCTTTTTCTTTTTTTTTTAATGTTCCTTCCTGACAGGCTGAATCCTGCCACGCACAGGCTCTGTGTCGTACCTGTGGATATGAAAACTCCGGGGTTGCATTCACAGTAACGAGCTGCGAACGCCTCCATCATCCTGTCAATCTTTTGAGCTTCTCCCGGCAGACGGAAGCTCCACAGAAACTGCCTGCAAGACGACAGAGGGGGGGAAAAAGCACACGCAAAATCCGACACAGTCTGTTAATAACAAGATGAGACAAAAAAAAAGCTTTACTCTGATATCTGTCAGAGAGTCAGTGTCAGTCATACATACCTGAGTGCCTGCACAAGATTAAGGTCTGAGAACTCGTGCAGACCAACAAACGATTTCAGGATCTCCAAATGCATCTCCTCTCTGTGTGAGAAGAAACATGATGATTATTAAAACTGAAAATATGAAGTACTTAAAGGCTTTATATTTATATTTTTCACACTTAAATGTAATAGAAATCAAGAATATCCTCTGAAAATAACTCTGAGTCATGACTGTCTACAATGGGTGTAACAAGAGTCCCACTGTCTGTGATGCTTTCAGAGTTTTCAGAGTCCTATCTTCAGTTTGTTTACATCGCCCAGACGGCCAGCTGACTCCTCCCCTCGTGTAAATCAGTGTAGTGATACAACAGAAAACTCAAAGTACTTGGTCTTTTTTATATAAAAGTTGTTTAATTGAGGGACTAGAGAAAAGAAGAATAACATACTGTACTCACTGCTTAAGTGTGTTTCTAGATCACGCTCATTTCAGGTAAATTTACATGCAGTGTGAAGATACCAGCATAATAAAGATCGCTAGCATTAGCATGCTAACACAACAATGCAGCGCGAGTTATTTTGGTTTCATGCTGGTGCTCACGGGCGACACCTGCTGGATCAAAACAATCGCATATAAAGCCTTTAATAAAACTAGAAGGCCAGTCTTGCGTGATAATAAAAATCTGCATAATTTACATGCAGTGTGAAGATACCAGCATAATAAAGATCGCTAGCATTAGCATGCTAACACAACAATGCAGCGCGAGTTATTTTGGTTTCATGCTGGTGCTCACGGGCGACACCTGCTGGATCAAAACAATCGCATATAAAGCCTTTAATAAAACTAGAAGGCCAGTCTTGCGTGATAATAAAAATCTGCATTAGCGACCGTATAGTTCTTTGAATATTTCCCTCTCCTGACTTACGTCGTGATGTGGTTGTCCTGAGCTGAATTGTCCATTTAGCTGTGCTTTCAATTCACTGCAATGTATAAGTAAGATCTTTTACCTGCTTTTTGTAACATAACAATGAGTATGGTGTTTTTACCTGCTCTTTTGTAATGTTAACAGACAAAGAGTAAGGTATTTTACCTGCTTTTTGTAAAGTGTCTCGAGATAACACTTGTTTTGAGTTGACGCTATACAAATAAAAACTTATTGATTGATTGATTGATTGAATGTTCTGAGGTGGCTATCAGCGTCCATCGATGTTCGCTCAAACTACTCATATAAAGTTTGACTAAAGCTAGCATTAGAATTCAATCACTTCCTCGCTAGTAATCCGTTAAAACAGGATTTTGTATTTCCTAACTGAAATGTTAGCTAAATGAGGCTAAATCCTCAAACAGCTGTCTCTGAGTACATCAGAAAACCTCATGGGACAAAAAGTTCCATAAGCTCCAAAAGCTCAGTGAGCAAGCATGCTAGCCAGCTAATTAGCCAATTTACTGTAGGCTATTTATAGATATAAATTGTTAAGAAGAGTAGAAACTGAGATTACTTTTGTTCCTTAGTTTCACGACAGAACCCCCTCAATAGCCACTCGTGTGTGAGTTCTGTACCGTTCTCCCAGGAAGTTCCCGATGGCGGTCTTGTTCAGTCCCTCCTCCTTGTAAAGAAATTCAGCAAACGGCTCTGCTCGCCACTCCAGCAGTCCATTTTCAACCAGGTACTGGACCCCCTGAAAGATCAGAGGTGGGGTTAGAGGTCAGATTATTATGGAATATAATCAAATCTTTAATATGAGTTACATTTGTGTTTCATAAAATAACTTTTTTTTTTTCCTCCAGAGTTGTTGTGGATCATTCGGGCAGCAGATGTGAAGGGGATGATAAATATTTCATGCTTCTGTCTGTTGATCTCAAAGGTGCTCACAGAGAGTTCTTTGAAATACAACCCTGTCCTCTGAATGAGTGCTCCTGTTGAGTACTTCTTCAGATCAATCTCACTTGAAGAACTCCTTAACCCTAACCCTTCTCAAACTTCTCATCGTCATCTCATGCTGCACTCGGGTCTGAGCTCAGAGCGAGCACAGGGGGAGTTGGATTCTGAAAACGAGGGCGCAGAGAGGAAGATGAGAGGAGACGCTTCTTGCCCCACTTCAGGGAACAGGAAGTGGCTTTTCTCGCTATGCGCTCATTTGCATCTGCACAGTTTGCACTTCTGCACATCGCACACACACACTCGCCCCAAACACATCAAAGACTCGCACACATTGCTCTCCTCCACATCCTCTCTGTGAGGAGTCCTCTGTCTCCCGGTTTCCAGATCCTTCAGAGGAGCTGAAGTGAAAGAAGAATTTCAACTCCACAGATCTTCCTGCCCAGGGACTACAGATGTAAATTAACTTCATTGCCAGTTAACAGTTGGGTTGTGCACGGCCCCTGACAAATGAGCCAATATACTAAACTCAGAGAAACACTGGACATTCATAGCACACTCTGTTTTAGAACAAGAGGTCTGCATGAAGGTATAGTGTTTATTTTCTATAAGAGAATGAGTCACTTCAGAAACAGGTCCTGGAACTGGGTCTACAACTACAGAAATTGTCTTTCCTGCATGTTTATTTACAAAAGAATACAACAAAAACTCACTTTTTTGGGATCCATGTTGAACTTCTTTTTCCCTCTTAAAAACCTCCTGTTCCTCACAACACACAGAAACACACATGAAGGAAAAGGCCGGTCATTTAAATATATACTGTATAATTATCATTTTCTATTAACACATAAAAGGACCAATTGTGGTCTTTAAAAGAACAAAGCATCTTTGTCGTCTTTTTTTTGAGAATGAAAAAGAGTTTAGCTTTATTTTGAGCAGATTGTGTTTTAAATATTATACTGATATCATCTGTTTTATATTGGTCTTTCTGTTTTCAATTTTGTCATTGCAAAGGCTTTTCTCTGTGTGTCCCCTTCCCTCTAAGTGTGGTCTGAACAGGCATAATGTACTCTATTCACCCAGGTTGTTTTAAATGTGTTTTCAATGCATGACTCACAAAATAAGGAAATGTCAATGAATCATTTATCTGTAAAACTAGCAGGTAGCTTAAATCAAACTAATTCGATCTCTATGCAGTATGTAATAAAGTTATCGTCAGAACTATCCCCCCACAGTATAGACTCTATACAAACATTTTAAACTTGGAAGTGTTTTAGCACGTCTGGTGTTTGGGGTGTTGACTTGTGGGGAGTGTTATTCCGACACTGTGGCTGCCATGCCAGTAACACCGACGTTAAAAATAAATACACAAGAATGTCAAACCACTGACATTCAATCACCTTCTGATACAAAGTGAGTATGGCTTTCAAGATTCAGTTTGTTGATAAATTTAATAAATGGCTGTTCAGTTGTACTTAACCTCTGACCTCAGTCAGAAAATAAAATGAGAGCTCTGAGAAAAACACAATGTCCTGGATGAGAAGCTGTTATGTACTGTATGAAAAGGTTTCAAAAAGGTTTAAGGGACCCAGGTCAAAGCTGAGGCGCAGGTTTAAAGACTCTTTCACTGCAGAGAAAACATGTTATGTTGACTTCTGACTCCAATAAAAGTCACATTGAAGCTGCTGGATGACTGAGCGTGAGGTTTGGTGTGGGAGTTAGCCCTGAGTGAATGTGTCTCTTGAATGAAGGAAGACGCCTCGCTGCCTCTCAGGTGAGCTGCTCATACTCACTTCTGCTCCTTCAGGTGCGGACGGAGGATCTCTGGCATGTCGTGATTCATCTGACGGAGTTCAGAGAGAGAATTTAGTGATTTCAACTCAGGAACAAGGAGTGACATTGCATCACACACACACACACACACACAGACATACACACACACACACACACACACGCACACACACACACACACACACACACATACACACACACATACACACACACAGACACACACACACACAGACACACAACACACACAGACACACACACACAAACACGTGTGCCTTACTAAGAGGGGACTATCAGTCTACTCTAACACTATTCAAGTGGGGCCTTGTCTTTCTGGTCATTTTAACAACACAAAAAAGTTATACCACCTTTTCTTGTGATGTCTTTAACACCCACACACACCCACGCACACCCACGCACACACACGCCACATGACTTTCACCTCTTTTCAGCTGCCACTATATCTACTTCACAACAGCAATTGTGTTATGATTTCACATTTCAAAACACCGACTGAACGCTAAAGTACATGACTCATAACTAATTTATCTCGGGCAGTTATAAAATAACCTTCAAATCTTTTCTCTCTCAAAGTGTGCATTGATATGAGTCTTTGCATAAATGCCGTGAAAAGCTCTGTAGATGGAGAGCGCATGGAGAAGAATAGAGTCAGATTTAAATGTGAGACCTTGGGAGAAAAATATTCAGCAGCGTACCTGAGAGTCATCGGGCAGCCCACACCTGTTAGTGTGCACACTGCTCTCTGGTTTAGGTGGAGCTGTGGGTGCAGACAGTTATTTGATGAGGCAGTTAGCAGAAACGTGGACAGTTTTAACAACCTCCCTGACACCTCTGCTCGCCCCCACAGACCGGCATGCATCACATTCATCCCCCACAGTTAGAGAAGAGCATGAATGGGAGAAAACAAGGACTAAAAATAACAGCTCCTCTTCCTCTTTTTAATGAACCTAGACTAGTTTGAGAGCAGGGGGGGCATTAAAAGGAGAAACATAACTTGTGTATGTTCAGGAAACTGACTAGAAGTTAAGTTTCAGTGACAGCTAAATAAATAGTTACAAGTGAGTCTCAAAAGTGAATAACAGTCCAATTTCTTTTTTAAATACAAACAAAATATCTATACTAAAGTTAATGTAATTAAAAATGATTACAAACACATTCTGGATGTATAATAAGAGTAAACTTCAGTCTTAATTCTGGGTAAACAAAGGACAGTGTTGCTATCAGTAAAATCATATTTGATAATATTCTGACTTTTTATTTTGCTACAATTCGCTTATGTTATTAAAACATTTGAAGTTCTATTGGCCCTAATATTTTGTTCAAATCCTTATAAATTATTGTGTATTGAATTGTATTGTTATGTATCTTAACATGTTGCACAGTAAGTAAGTTTCAATGAAGCCTAAACTGAAATAGAGTAGTTTTTTCTTGTTTTGAAAGATCTATATTAATTAAAACAAAATCTAAAAGAATAAATGTTTGTCAACATTACTAAAAAGTTTATAACAAAACAGCATTTTTAGACACATTTATGGACTATACAATGAAAAATTCAACCAAGAAAACTGGAAAACATCTAATAAAATCCTCTAACTTTAAGACAGCCATTTCCAAAAGCATGAAATGATAACAATAATAAGATATAAAAGTGTACCTCTCCCCCAGAGGAAGCTGTCTTTCCTGCGTATGTTCATGTTTCTGAAGTGCACAGCGTCTGACGGCTGAGCAGGAAACAACTGAAAGTCTGCTGCGACAAAAAAAAAAAAAGATTCTGCTTAGCTGACACTCTGAGCTCACTCAAAGGTCTCTTGTTACTTCAACTCTATGATGACCTGATGACCAAATGTCCACATTATTCTGTAAGGAAGAAAAGACGTGTCACGTACACTCTGCAACTATGAAAGACACCATACACAGCCAATATACATAAGTTTGCAATAAGAACATCTAACACAGTAGTACATGCCTCTATGTAATAATAATTACCTTAGATATGACAGATGTCTCAAAATAAACAGCAAATGTGCATAAAAAGTGGGCTAACAGTAGCCAACTATCAACTTTAATAAGAAACATAATGGTTATATTCCCCATCAAACTACACTAAATTTAACTGTTTGACCAAAGTGATCTTGTCATTTAATAAACTGTGGCCGTTGAAACAGCTTAATGAAACCAGAAACTTTCACTATACTGTAGGTTAGCGTAAAAACTATTATGAGTCAGTAAGGAAATGAAACTGAAGCTGAACAAAGGACACTTTATTTCTAAATATAAAGCCCCACCTGCTGGAAACATTTAACATTATTTAACATCTCACAGACTGTTGAAAATCATGATGTGTTGATACGTGCCACTTTCCACATGACTTTATCTTTAGATTCAGGAAAGGCAAGTTGAAGAAAGAGCTAAAAAACTCAAATATCAAGATCTCAAGACAAGCAAGTCATACATGTGTGGGGGTGGGGCAGAGGGGAGGGGTTATATCTGTGTGATAAGTCAGCTTTTATTTTAAACTTCCAAATGAGTCACTTTGCATTTTAATGCACTTTGTGTGGGAAAGATCAGATCACTAACTGCATCATACTGAAACTCACTGCACAGAAGAAACAAAGGTTACTTACTGTAATCGTGAAACCTCTTTAAGTGTGAATTAAGGGTCCAGTTCTTAAGATTTTCCTATTAACTGTTAATTAATGAAAGTGTCAAGACATATATTGAGGTCCTTGCAGCCAATCCTCAGCATAATGTCAGACGCATTCGTGAAAGTAAGAACGATTGTGTTGACTTACATAAGACATATTCAGGTCCAGCAGGATGGGGATGTGCAAGTTTGAGAAAAATAGCATGCTTCCTCATGCATTGTGTCAGCTCTAATTGGGACAAAATGTGTCTCCTCGCGAACAGTAAAATGTTGTCATCGCAGACATAAATAGACCACTTGGAATAAATCCTTGACAATGTGTTCCCAGCAGGTCTGTTCATAGTTGACCCTTTTTTAAATTGGTACCACTTCCCTTCTGAAAATCATTGGGAGCTTTACATAACATCAGTTTTCTACTGAAGCCTTTTTCTCTCTGCAGTGTTTCGATTCTCCCGTAATTGCCTCTGTCATTGTATTCTTTTGTCAGTAAAGTGAAATGCATTGTTCCCCTGATTTGATTTTGAGGGTGTTTTCCCTGTATACACCAAACCTTGGTGATATGTAATTGGTCACTATAGCTTGGACTACAAATGTACTACAAATGGAAACAAGAACACTTCCCGTGCTTAAAATCCAGACCCCTTGTGTGTAAAATCTGTAAATAGATTACTCATAGGCCCACTGCACATGTTCCAGCTATAACCTGATGTCAACATCTAATGAGTGCTTATCCTTTCACATTTGTCAAATACCTAATTGTCTATACATTTTTAGTTTAGGTTTGTCAAATGATCCACATAATACAACAATGATAATAAGAAAGAAGATGCCTTGAAGGTATTGCACAAATAGACAAAAAATGATTAGATACAACCACTTGGAGACAAACAAACAACCAAAGTGAGCTTTGTAGGAGTGAATTCCACGATAAGCAATCAACAAACGATGCAAAAAACATCCAAAGAGATGAAGCTCAAACACAAAGTGACTGCAAAGAAAGAAAACAGACGAATCAAGTGTGCAATTAAAGCACAAGGAGACACAAACATTGCAAAGCAAAGAGACAACTATGATTTATCTGTCATACACCCTTGTCTGTTTGAAGTGTCGGAGTGTTCGAAAGAAGTGTGACTCCTCAGTTGATAAGTGTGCTGCTCAATTCTCTGTCAGAGCAATCGTAATTGCTTCCAAAGTGGTCTTCAGCAGCTGTTGCATTGACAGTCCCTCGCATCAAGAGGAATGAACATTTACTGTGGACCCCGCTGCATAAACAACAGCTGCACAAAGAGAGGAAAGAGGGGGAGAAATCATCCTTCATATCTGTGATTACTGAGGTGCCATCCATCCCAATTTGTGACTTTTAGAGCGCTCCGCTTGCACAAACAGGAGTAATCAGTGCTTAGATTTGTCATTAGGCTTTAACAGTATCACCCTGCGTCTGTACCACAGGTGAACATTTGCAAACATCTAAGGTGAAACTTTGGTACTTAATATTCCTCTTCAGTCTCTTATTCAAGGTCCTGGTGTTTTCTTATTTAGTTTCCATAGTAATTTGATATCCATAATGCAAATACAGCCTTGTCAGATTGGATACCTTGTGGTAGCTAATGTAAATCTATTTACAGCAGGGGAGTGTAGGCAGAGAGCATGACAGGATCCAGCTTATTTTTCTATGGTGAGCTCGAGACGGTCTGCAGTGTGAGGATCTACAGCCAGTCTCATAAAACATCCCAAAAGACACTCATGAGTGCTTACACAGACCTTCAAATTAAACAAAGTATTATTGTAAACTCTCTGGGTGCTGCTACAGACTTTATTAAGACGGACGTTGTCTCAGTGACAACACATCAGTTTCTAAGCAGACTTTTTAAGACCAACGATGATGGTTGCCATAGTGAAAAACTACTTTCGGTCAAATAAAGGCAACAACTGGAGCTCAGGTTGGCCATCGACCTCTCATAAACATCTATACAACACTGAACATATAACACAGGTTTATCTGCTGAAGCTGTCTGACTAATCAGCTATATTTACACTTTCGGAAACAAGAACTTGACATGCATGATTGTTGTGAAACATCTATACAACACTGAACTATATTAACACATGTTTATCTGCTGAAGCTGTCTGACTAATCAAGCTATATTTACACTTTCGGAAACAAGAACTTGACATGCATGATTGTGTGAGAGAGCGAGCTCTGGAGCTGTCGTGGCAGATGGACCACAGGTGTCTGCTCATAAATTACTCTAATGATCATAATGAAATGTGCCAGATCCAGGAAATAGCTTCACAGGGAACACTTTATGGAACAAAGACATCAATAGTTGGTTGTTAGTTACATTTTTCTCTGCCTTGACAAGTGAAATGTCTGTTATGAAACCATATGTGTTTATTTGATACTCTGTCTCGCTTTGCTCGCATCTTTCAAAAAAACAAAACCAGCATCGCCTTTTAGTTGAACAAACTTAAATTAAATCAAAATAGTCTTCAGCCCTGTCTGCAAGAAGAAACCGTCCTTGGTCATTTGTCTAATCTTTTAGGCAAAAAAATTCAGACTGTTGCAAACCAACTGTTCAACTTTGAATTCTGGCAGTTACGCTGCTTGCATGAATAAAATGTCTAATTTATTATTTTTTATATTCCTATCTTAGCAAAATTTTCCTCTTTCAGGGTTGGCAAAACATAATGAACATCCTCCGGCTGATACTTCTGTTTGATTCTAGTGAAGATCCTCTTCTTGTTTTTGTCTCGTTTTGGCTAACAGAGAGGTGATTCAATCCTGAAGGTTGTTTGACAAAAGCAGCATGATGTATTCTTACTCTTTATTCATCTTTTCCTGAAAGAATGACTAACACCAAACCCTGAAGTTGTTCGGAGCCAAAAATTGACTGAAGGTTTCGTCGCTCTTGAACAGAAATAAACTGTTCTGCTCTTTGCCTTTCATTGAACCTCATCCACCATTCGGCTTTATCCTCGTCAGAGATTATAAAACACCTCATTCTCATTTACCGCTGAGTCACTGAGTGTTTTTGAATATAGATTCAACAGCTTCAGAAGCAGTATGTCAAGTTCATCCGAAAAGATGCAAAAGTGAAGAGATGACAGTTGAAACCTGTTGAATATTTTTCCGTAATTGAAGAGGCAGATTTTGAATCACGTGGCCTTGTTCAGACTGCCCAGATCTGTTTCATTCTATGTAGCAAATAAGCCTCATATTTAGATGTCAAAGACGGCTGTTTTTTTGCTCTTGCGAATCTACTCAGGTTGGGAAGGTTACAGCTTACAGTATGTGATGCTACTATGTCTTCTTAAGTTACAAAGAGCAGTGCTCATTTTGTCGGTTTTCTTGCATGTCAGAGGCTAGAGTCCTTAGCCTTGGTAGTGTTCATCTTCCCCCTCTCCTCCACCTCTTAAGGGGCCACGTGAGGAAGAGAAGGACACACATGGTCAGAGGCGCTGCTTGTCAAAAGGCAAGGCAGGCAACTGCTTGGGGCCCCCGACGGCTCACAAACTTAAACCAAAGCAATGGCCCAAAATGTGCAGTTTTAAATGGCAGTAGGAAACCTCCCTAAGGGGGCCCCATCTGACAGCACTCACTCTCGTTGCCCTGCTACACGTTGCATGCATTATTGCTTTGAAAACCAAAGATGTCAATGAAAGTCAACAAAGAAAAGGAAGGTGGTTCTCATAACATTCTGGAAATGTTTGCCGATAACATTCTGAAAACAATTAGCGAAAACGTTCTGAGAACGTTTGGCAAAGACGTTATGAAAATGTTTGGGGATAACGTTCTGAAAATGTTTGGGGATAACTTTCTGAAAATGTCTGGGGATAACGTTCTGAAAATGTTTGGGGATAACTTTCTGAAAATGTTTGGGGATAACGTTCTGAAAATGTTTGGGGATAACTTTCTGAAAATGTTTGGGGATAACTTTCTGAAAATGTTTGGGGATAACGTTCTGAAAATGTTTGGGGATAACTTTCTGAAAATGTTTGGGGATAACGTTCTGAAAATGTTTGGGGATAACTTTCTGAAAATGTTTGGGGATAACGTTCTGAAAATGTTTGGGGATAACTTTCTGAAAATGTCTGGGGATAACGTTCTGAAAAT